AATTAGCCTGATTAACACTGGCACTACAACTGATAGATACTTTTTTTCCCCTCTCCCTTTTTTCTCTGTTATAAATTCTGGGTCTCCCTGTTTTGTTCCCCTCAAGCACATCTGAAAAATTGTGTTTTGTCCATGAAAGCTCATGATTCTAGTATATATATATTTGTTAGTCTCTAAGGTGCCACAGAACTACTCATTGTTTTTAAAGTTATAGACTAACATGGCTATATTTTATTTGTTTTGATGTTTTTATTTGTAAATAGTTGGAGGCATCTACATGGTTAGTTCCCAGTTTAAAAATACTTGAATTCTGAATCGATACACTAGGGATGTTTAAATATGTCTATTTGTATAAATGTGTAATCGCTGAAATTTGTAGCAGTGAGACATTTACATGCAGGTGGCAGGTGGGACCTAGAGGGAACCAGCTTCCAGCCTGCTCCCCGCATGCATTAGCTCTCTCCCACCCTATGCTGCTGCCTATGATCCAGAGTAGGAATGTTAGATAGCGAGTAATAGAATAGCCGACTATCCACATGAATTCTTAGTGGTTAGTCGACTATTCTATAGTCCCTGGGGACAGAGACAGCATGATCCGGTCTGCAAGGGGAACCAGTTTAAAAACCAGGTCCCCTCATGGACCGCTGCCTGCCACACTGTGCTGGTGCCTCTGATAAAGGCAGCAGCATAGGGTGGCAGCAGCCCCATGTGTGGAGGGGCGTCCAAGCTCTCTGTGGACAGAGGCTGCTGGGGGGGAGGCTGTAGAGGAAGGTTGCTGCAAAGCAGCCTCTGTCCGCGGCTCCAGCAGCAGCCCCTGTCTGTGGGAGCTCGGACCCCCTGCAGGCAGAGGCTGCTTCATGGCAGCCTCCTCTACTTCCTCCCTTTGCCCCCGCTGCCTCTGATAGAAATTTGGCTCTCACTCATTTTAAGGGCTCATGCCCTTTGCAGAAATTACTCACTAGCAGAGGGAGGTAAATCCTCTGGTCTTTCAGAGAGCACTTTAGATGATGAAATTTAGGAACAATTAAAATTAACACTCTCCCCCTATCTGACCCTCAAAAAAAGAATAACTCACTGACAAAATTTAAAACTAATGAGCTGCACAGGAAGATTATCACAGAAGAGAAGAATAATCTAGAGAGGGGTAACACACAGAGATTCAATTTTAATGTTAACTACAGGCACAGTTGACCATATAAAAGAATATATGGAGCAAGGATAAATATTTAATTAGTCTTTCCAAATTTGTATTTGGCAGAATGGTTGTGAATGGGTCCAATTCCTATCATGGAATAGTCACTCATTCTAACGGTGGAGGGAGAGGCATTAGGACAGCAGAAAATTACCAGAACAACTTTTTACATCTCCATGTTTTAGCCACCATTGTTGTGTATCCACCCTTCCTTCCCTAAAATGTGATATTTTAAAACTAAGTTAAGATTTAAAAGGTTTTATTTAACATTACAAACATTTGCTTTTCTGTCTCTTTGGGTATGTCTACGCAGCAGCATTATTTAGGAATAACTAACGTTATTCTGAAATAACATAGTATGTGTTTACACCCCATGTCTTTATTTTGAAATAATGTTGAGCTGGCGGACTTCTTACTCCAACTCATGGTAACCCTCATTTCACAAGTAGTAAGGGAAGTCGAAGGAAGAGTGTTCTTCCTTCAATTTCCTGCTGTGCAGACAGCGCCAAAAGGTGAATTAAGCTATTTCAACTTCAGCTACACAATTGACGTGGCTGAAGTTACTGATACATCTACTTTATTTTTTAAACTAATATACATATCTTAGGGTATGTCTACACTACCCCGCTAGTTCGAACTAGCGGGGTAGTGTAGACATACCCTGGGTGAGTCTGGTGTGGAACTAACCACCACAGGGCACTGCACTGGCTGGCATAATTTAAAAGAGCCCTTAAGCTAGTCTGAGTTCCACACAGGGCAATTTACATCCATGGTCAGGCTGAAGATCAGGCTGGAGAGGCAAGGGAGCTTTTAGAGTCACCTTCCTCTATCCCAAACACTCCTCAGGTCCTGCACCAAATACAGCTTGGCTAGACCCTCAGATCTGGGTTTCAAATTTGACACCATGAAAAACCGCCATTAAATCCAACTAGTGTTTCCTTTGATTAAGAGTGAAGAGCCAAGTTATGCCCTATGGAGTATGTACAAGGCTTCCCTTTTAAGTCCATGAAAACTGCACAGCAGTAGACTCAGTCCTTGGGTAGCCTCTGTCCTTGAGTAGAGACTAGGGATTTACATTCTCCAAGAAATAATTTTTCTCACACTAAACACTGCATTTTCAAAATGCACAAGTTCATAGATAAAGGTACGTTTGCTCCTGAAAAAATTGTAGGCATATAAACATGAAGCTAGTATCACTACATTGTCTGCCTGATTTTCTTGCTGCTGATCCTGAATAAACTGTATGGAACAAGTTGCCAACAGCTTGCTAGTGACATTTGTTTTCATTAGTACTATGAACACACCTTACCTTGAAATAACTTTTGTTTAAGCACAACAGCAGCACACTTTATTTGTATTGACAACAGACACAGTATTTACAAGAAATAAAAAGCAGGACAAAGGAGACATGGATTCATTTTTCAGTCTTTCAGGAATAATTTTTGTCTTAAAAATGAAACTATTGCCCAAACCTATTTGTTTTCCAATACACAACTATAGACCTCTTCCAGTTGTCTATTTTAGAGATTCATAAATTAACCTCTATTACCGCTAATGTAGTACCAGCTCCTGAAATTGAAGATTCATCTTTTACTTTTCTTGAGGAAGAAAAACTCAAAGCTAACTAATTTAAATAATTCTCTGTAATTGTGCTGCATTTTTTTTACACCTCTATTCCTCAGGGACCAAAGGTGCAATTTCTACAGATGCCTTAGCATAGTACCGACATTTGTCGAGTGTGGTGATAATCAGTGATGTTATAAAAAACACATTGACCAAAACACATTTAAGAGAAATACATCACAAATTTCACACACACACATCTGTCTTCCATGCAATCCCTCTACTACCTTCATCACTATAGTATCACATTTAACAGAATAAAAGGGCATTGAAGAAATCTAAATTGAAATGACATTTCACATAGCGAGCATTTTCATTGCATTGAAAAGCTTGTAATTTAAATCCTGAATTAATATTTTATACTATTTCTCCATAAACTTAGTCCTTCCTCAAAGTGAAAGTAAATTAAGAGGCAAATGCAAATAAAATTAAGATACTTTTCCACAAAGGACCAGATTCTTATCTTAGATATGCAGATTTAAATCCAAATTATCTGCCCTGAAGTCAACAGAACTGTTCTGCAGAATTTAGTACAGATATCCTTCTATGATAGATACTCTATAGTGTCTCATATATTGTACATTGGATCAAGGTCTCAGGAGGGGCAGAGCAGACCCAGTACAACTAGCTGTGAAGTGACTTCTTCCCAGAAACCATTTGTCTGATTCTTTTCTCATTTTACATAGCAGTAAATCAAAGGTAACTCCACTGAAGTTAATAGAGTGATACAGGTGTAAAAGGATCAGAGCCCATAAATCCAGACTTATCAAATTTGCATTAGATAAAGGGACATACCCTCATGTTGAAATACAGTTTTTGAAATCTCACTCTCCTCTGTAATGATAAGGGATTCTGTTGATGAAATTAGACATTTAAATCCTCACTAAACATTTTCTGAAACTTCCCTTATTCAATCTGTCACATCTTGAGTCAGCCCTGTACTTTCTCACAGACCACAAAGGTAGTAAAATGTACTTGGGAAGGGCTGCTCCATCTCCAAGAAGAGTTCAAGAACTCATGGCTGTGAAGGAGATAACTAAATTGTTTCCAAGGATTCCAGGCCCTGCCACTAGCAGCAATGCAGATCAATGATATTATGAAGCTACTAAGTGCCAGGCAAAGAAAGTCATTAGGAAATTGCTTGAAAGTAAGTTGGGTGAACTTTCAAGTGTGGGCAGATGGATGGATATTACTATTTTCATCACAATGCCTAGAGGCCACAACTGAGTCCTGTTTTGCTAGGCATCATACATACATATGTACATACAATAAAAGTCTGCCCCAGAGCATTTGCAATCTATATAGATAAAACAGATAAAGGAGGTAAGGCACAGAGATTAAATTACTTACATAGGCCTAAGGTCAGACAACAGATCTGTCTAGGGTACCACAGGCCTATTGTTACCTTTATCTTCTAACTAGCTTCCTCCGCCCTTGATTAGAGTCCTTCCAAATCTGGTTCAATAGTAGCTTACAGGTCATTTTGGATCCTTTACTTTGAAATCTCTCATGTGTCAGGTTCAAAAGACTCATGACCTCCTAAATACATTCACATTCTTCACATTTAAGTACCTTCCATGCACTTTCAAAACCAAACCAATATGATACCACAAGTTCTACTAACCCTCTGACATAATGTGCCCAGAAATATGTTCTTTTACATGAGAAAAAACTATATTAAAAAGAACATTATGGTGCAAAATCAGGCACTCAAAAATTAGTAATTACCAGAATTATAATTGCCTGTGAAACCTAAATTCAACTTCCTTATGGGTATGCATTGTGATACAGTCTTTAATTGCATCTTTGTCTCAATGGATGTGGAATGTACCTCAGTTGGTAAATGACCAGGATTTATCACTGAATTTGGTCCACTGAATAGATCATTAGCTTCCCCGTTTCAGGTTGGGTACTGACAGAGTACAATGTGAATGCTGATCCATGTCCCCTCTTCCCCTTTTCATTACATAGAATCATAGGACTGGAAACCATCCCAAGAGTCTTTTAGTCTAGTCCCTTGAACTCAAGGTAGGACTAGGTATGATCTAGACCATAGTGTCTCTATATTGGACTAAGGGTAGAGCAGTCATAATCATATGTGATTTATTACATACACACATACACACACACAATTTGTTCTGGTAAAGCAACTGCATAAAGATTGCTAGATGTTTCAAATTCTCACCTATGAGTTGACCAGAGCAGCACAGGTACATGGTCCACAGCCAGAGTCAATTTGATCAGCATTCCAAGGGAGCAGAACAGCCGGATGAGGGCCATGATCCCACTCAGGTTAGTAAATGACTGACTAGTAGCTCTAAAGAATGAAACTGAATATAAGATGAAGGAAGCTGGATTTTCCGGTTTAATCTGAAGTATCTGGATACAGCTAGGAAACTGGCTGGGGCTGTTTTATATCAAAATATAAACATTCAAAACAACCATGTGATTAAGTCAAGCAACAGTGCTAGAATTTTCCAATAACTTTTAGTGCAGTTGTGCAAATGACTCAAAAACTGTTCATGCTTTGAATCCATGCACAGACCTCTTAACAGATCATTCCCCAGAACATTGCTATGTGGCCCACATTTATTCCAGACCCACTTTTTCTCACTCACTATTACTGTAATTTATTAACAACTGAATTGTTAAACCCTGAAATGGAGTTTATAGAAAACTTTCCTTGCACTGAAGAACCCCCGCCCCCCCAGATATTTCATTTTCTTCTTCTGCTATTATTATTATTTTCTTCACTATGTCCCTAAGCTTCTCACAGATTGTAGAAGCTGGTGTCATCCTTCGATGTTGGTAGGTTTGAAAGCTTCAGTATATCTGGACATAGCAGCCTCCAACAAGGAGGGAGAGAGTATGAAAGTGATAAGGTTGGAACTTAATTAAAACATGGAATTGTTCAATTATCAAGATGCTTGATCCATAAATCAAGAATGGCAAAAGTCAAACCAAATTACAATGTTCTCAGGACCTGATGTGACTTAAATACCTTAAAATGTAATAGAAGATATGAATGGTTATGGAATTTCTTCTACCCTATCAGCATGAGACTCTGAATTCTTTCTTTTTAAAATGGTGCCCCTGCCCCCTTCAAGGACAGAGTTTCAGCCAAGCCATATTTCTGCATTTGAGAGTCACCTGGTTAGACAGTATCATGTTCACTATAGCCATGCAAGGGACTTTCCAATCAGAGTAAAAGATGTGGTCCCAGAATTTAGGAGGCGATGAAAGCAATTACATCAAAGACACAGCAGAAAATGAGAACAGACCACAGAGAGCAGCTATGGAGAAAAGGATGGTGGTGCGGGTGGGGGAGAGGGCAAGTTATTAGTAAATGCAAGAAAGAAAGAATTACTCTTGGAGAAGGACAGTTTGTGCCATGGGGAGCAAATCATGGTAGTTATCTAAGCTCTTTATGGATTATTTGATGGTTTAAACATTCACATAATATTTACTTTAAATACTGGCTTGGGTGGATTATTTATGAACGGCTTCTAAGAAGGAGGGGTTTGAACGGAAAGCAGGTTGGGAAGAGAAAAAATCAGGAGGAAGAATAAGCCCCAAACATAAGAAACAGCATGAAAAGGTAGGAGTGTGATTCTGAGGGAAACTATCAGGGAGAAGACAGGAAGCTTGAGTGAAGTGAATGAGGGTGGATCAAAACGTGAGCTGAAGTTTTACAGAGCTCTAAAGGTAAGCACCAGTGTCTTGAATTCACGTGACTCACTCCATTTAGTGTATTGTTTATTGTTGCAGTTTATGTATAACTTGAGCAGTTCTTCATATGCTAATATAAACTCAGCTGTGATACAAGAGGAGAGCTGCATTAGAAAAACTTCAGTCCTCCTCTTCCCTTACTCTTTATATCCTCTTAGTTGTGTCTTTTATGCCTTTACCCCCCAGCGAGCTATTACCACCCACCATTTCCTGAAGTGCTGGATTGGCAGTGAATGATAACAACAGAACAGTGAAGATCAGGGTAAGGCAGAACAAGTGAGCTAATAGAAGACAAAATTGGAGAGAGGGAAGAACTGGAGCCTCCAGAGAAAAATTTAGTACAAGCTTGAAAAGTTCAGTCAAAGCAAGCTAAATACTAGTTGGCGCTAGGGAATGACTTATAGCAAGGCTGATCAAATAATGGATTTTCTGGATTGTATGATCAAATTGAAATATCTGGGAGGAAAAATCCAGTTTGATTTGAACCAAAATCTATTTTTTAAAGTTTTTATCAAAATAAAAACGTGAAAAAAATCTCTTTGAAAGTCAACTCAAACCAAGGGTTTTTTTTTCTCTTTCATTTTTGAGTTTTTGTACTGATTCTGGCATTTGGATGTTTTTCACTTTTTAAAAATTAACCAGATGTAAATTTGAAATATTAGTTTGAAAGTTGAAACAAAATGTTTTGACTTTTTCTGAACAAAACTGTTGAAATGAAATATTTTTATTCTTGTGAAATAATTCCTCCTCTTTCCCAACTGAAATCTTTTGCTTCATTCAAAATGAATTTAACTAATAGGACTAAGGATCCACAAAACACGGTTTTTTAATGTAAAAAAAAATCCTCAGTCAGCTCTCTACCACTCTTTACCAGCCTACAGAGCCATGGTTTTGATTGGCATGGACAGCAATTCCAGAATGTTCTTAAATTGTGCATGCATGTGCCTACTGCCCAAAAATCTATTAGAATCTTTAAAAAAATTCCCCGGATTACAGCTATTCTGCAGCTAGAGCACAAGAAGAAAGGTCAAAAGACTTACAATCAGGGACTATGCGATGGGGGGATATTTAAGGTACAAAAATGTTATTGTCCAGAGTTCAGGACGTTGTCTTTGAGAGTCCTTCTTAGAGCCCTGTATTGTTACAAGTGAAATTCAAGAAAAATAGGTAAAATTCTTTCAATTTTAGTGACATATTTCGAATGTCCTGTGTGGCCACTCTAAGAGGAACAGTCAGCAAATTATGACATTGAAGCTTCTTAGATTCTTATCACACCCATTCCTTCCCAGATTGGGAGTTCATGCTCAGAAGAGACATCATTGGTTTGCAAAGTGCAGACCACAAGCTCTTTGCAAAACTACATAACAGGAAAGAAAGAAAAGAAAACATAATTTACCTAGAACCCCTTTTCTCTGTGTATCAAAAGCTAGTTCCTGCAGGGCTCCACCTCAATGCAGCATTCAGCACGCTGAAAATGGCTGGGCTTTTGGAACCTAGGCAGAACAACAATAACAAATGTAAACCATTTTAACCTAGCCAGAAGAGTCATGTCAGCCCACACACTGTGAGGTGTGTTCTGTGATGAGTCCTTACTACAAACAGAAGAGAGAGAAGAAATCACTGAGACAAGGTTCATAGGCACTGAAGCTTGATGCCTAAAATATTTCTGATCTCGGTGAGGTCATAAAAGGAAAGGAGAAACTAGTCCGATGGATGTAATCATAAGGGGAGAATGAGTGTGTTATGTCTCTCTCCCCATTCCCACCCTGCCAGCAAGAGCTGGAGTGCTGACTGCCCAACAGTTTGAGTTGGAGCTTTGTTTTAAATGAAGCCCTGAAAAAAGGAATGTGAAGAAAACGACAGTTGAAACTGTATTTTGCTGTCCTTACCAATCTGGCTTATGTACTACTGTAAATACATTTGCTCCCTTTCCTTACTTTGATTTTTCATTCCTAAAAAAAAATTTGCTGACATGAATAATAAAGAAGGATATGGCCAGGTATAAGAAAGACATAGAACTGGAGAGAGAGAGTTTGTACAAAAGGTGACTTACCAAACTTGAACTTAACATGATGAGAGCTCACAAGTTCATTTATTTGGCTAGACTGAGCACAAACAGGAGCCTTGATATCTAGATTGATGCTACCTAATATGAAAATCTATGATTCACTGATATATTTTCCTAGGGTACTTCCTGAAGTGCAAATAAACACCATATTTAGACACCTTTGAACATTGGGGTGTTTGAAATTCAGAACGTGTTCCAAATTCTGAGACTCAGACTAAGTTATTTTAAAGTATTAGTTTTATAATGAGGAAAGAGGACAGAATGTTACCTTCATCAGCTCTCTAGCTACAATTGGTTTATTACATGAAAAGAACACCAAGGCTAATTTCCTAAGCCCATATTTAGTTTCTATTTAGAAATCCACACCCACCCATTTCTCAAGATATATATTTTTTCTTTTTTAATCCCATGTAGACTCTGTAACCCACCTATCTCAACCAGCCAAAGTTCAAATGTAGGACACAAGAAAAAATAGTAAGCAAGGTAGATTGAAGTGATGTGGACATAATTTTTTTGCAGCTAAATCTTTCTTTTTTTAAAAAAATTCACTTTATAATTTCGTATTCCTGATCCAAATCATTCTGAATAGCAAAAGCGTGAATGCCAGATTTGTGTGGGATGATGTTAAATATAGCACCCTAAATTAGGAAGAGAGGGATGACTTTCATAAAAAGGGACAATTTATGAGTATGATAAGCTAACATTAGTGAACAGAATGTCTGTAGCCAAGAGAAAAAAGACTGTCATCAATTATGTGTGAAAATGACCCAAGAAACACAGTCAAGAAGCAGACATATTGATGGTGGCATTGCATATTAAGGGATCCTTCAACAACCTGGAATAACAAAAGCAGATGTGTTTATTCTGGGCTTTGATTTTTAAAAATTAGTAAAAGATTGTAACTTATCCCAGCTGTTACTATATTCTCTTTTGAATAAAGTATCTGCTGGATACCAAATATTAGTAACCAATGTCTTCGTTACCATCAACTATTTAATCTGTATTCCTATTTTATCATTGTATTTACAACTACTTTCGGCACAAGCTAAGAATGTGTTTTCTTAATTGCGATTCAGCCTGTAGGAGGCAGGGGAAAAGGTTACTTGGAGACCCTTTGTTCCTCACCCACTGAGATGTAATAAGAGGGTAAATCCCTGTAAGAGCACACAGCCTTCTGTTGAAAGGAAGGAGACTTAGAAAGCATGAGAATCCTTGCCAAGTTAACTGATTATCCACATAAGCATGTGGGCAGAAAATTGGAGCTTTTCCCTTTAGAAAGCTGAGCTGTGGTGCCTGGTGATAGGGGGAGGGGACAGTACTACCAAAGAAGCCCTGTCTAGGGAGAAAGGTCCATCTTGGTGAGGCCCAGGTACTGAAGATGACTGATCTACTCGTATGGAGGGGATCTGGTGGGAGGAAGGTCAGGAAATAAAGGCCCACACCTGCCCTCCAGACTCTAAGCTCCTTCCCATGTCAAAATAAGCATGTGTGGGCTGGAACCAATTGTGGCAAAACTCCTTTCTGTGGCTGTGGAGAGGAACTCCTCATAGAGTAAATCCCTCAATGGCCCAGAATACAATATAGGTTCTATGGGCATCAGCCTCAGGTTTTGATTCTTGGAATCAAAGTATCAAAATCTTAGCTTTCATTTTTTAAAAGTATTTCTAGCACTTCTGGTTTTGAAATACAGCTTGGAAATGTGATCTTGAGTGTAAATGTTGAAATATCTGCTTAAACATGTAAACAACCTGAATTCATTCTGAGAAGTATGGACTGCCTATTCACCATACTGTCACTGAGTTACCTGTGTAACCTGCAACTCTGGGAGTCCTACTGACACCACCCCAACAGGACTGGGGACAAAGGGCTTCATCACTCCATCACAGCTTTGTTGAGGTGAATCAGCAACAGAGATCCCCACAAATAGCATAGGTACTCAGTTTTCATCTGTTGCCAGAAAATCATCTACCAGGGCAATCAATGCATTGTCTGTCCAATAACCAATTCAGTATCTACATTAACCAGGGCCAAGGAAACCTGAGACCACAAGGTAGTGTGGGAGTTCTCATCTCAGGCTTTTCAGTTTTCTGATACATATTAAAAAGGGACAAAGAGTAGTAGATGTTATAGACGTTTGGGCTCAGACTGCAGCCCAAGCTCTGGAATCCTCCTATTTTGTGGAGTCCCAGAGCATGGACTGAAGCCTGAATCCAAATTCTGCACCACAATAAAATAGCCCCTTAGGGTATGTCTACACTACAGCACTAATTCGAACTAACTTAATTAGAATTAGTTAATTCAAACTAAGCTAATTCGAACTAGTGCATCCAGACCTAAAAACTAGTTCGAATTAGCATTTTGCTAAGTCGAACTAGCATGTCCACATTGAGTGGACCCTGAACTGAGGTTAAGGATGGCCGGAAGCAGTGCCAGCAGGGCATCAGATTAGGACTTAGAGCGTGGAGCTGCTGTCTCAGGCTAGCCAAGGGCTGTGCTTAAAGGGACCTAACCCCCACCCCGGACAGACAGTTCTCAGGGGTTCCCCGCTCGCTTGTCTAACTCGATGAGGGACAGCAAAGCAGGCCTGGCTTGGAGTGCCCTGAGTGCCCACACTGGGCACATCACAGCACTTGGCCATCAGCCCAGCTGCACTTGCCGCAGGCTGCCATCCGGAGGGGCCAATCGGGGGGCTGCAGGAGAGTTTCCACCCCGAGGAGCCCGCAGAGCCACCCCAGTCCTCCCCATCGGGGGCTCGTACCCCATTCCTCCCTCACCTCCTTCCACTTACCCCTCCCTAGCCCCCCTTCCCGATGTGCAAAATAAAGGACACGTGTGTTCAAAAATAGAAACTCTCTTTATTGAACAAAACTCGGGGAGACTGAGAAAAGGAGGTGGGAGAGGGGAAGAGAGAGGCTGAGAGAGGGGTGGCAACTAAAATGATCAGGGGTTTGGAACAGGTCCCATATGAAGAGAGGCTAATGAGACTGGGACTTCTCAGATTAGAAAAGAGGAGACTGAGGGGGGATATGATAGAGGTCTATAAAAGCACGAGTGGTGTGGAGAGGGTGCATAAAGAAAAGTTCTTCATTAGTTCCCATAATAGAAGGACTAAAGGACACCAAATGAAATGAATGGG